CAAAGCAAATTCTATCCATTTTGTTTCAGAAATAACAACAAAATTCAGCTACTTTCGAAAAACATTGGCAAAAATATTTGAGTGAGGTTAGTTAGTTACAGACATAGGATTCAGTCTAAATCATGAAAAACCAAGTACAGACTGGGCAGAGGTTCTCAAAAATCATGAAAAAGAGCTCAACATTTTCTCCTCAAAAGGCTTCATCTCCAACACTGAAGCAGAAACACATGCTCACACTTTTTGCTATTCAGTTACATTTGCTCTCTCTTGCTTTGTGAATCAGGAACTATGGAAACCTTTGTTCTAACTATTGCAAAGTTGAGATTCCAGCTGCCCTTATGAAAGTTTATTGGCTAGATTTTAAAGTCCTTGATACATGGAAAGAAATCTAACTCCATTTTTTGCATAACTTATTTCCCAACATTTTAATGAACCTTACCAACACTGACATTCTTTGCTATTTCTTTAAAAGTGCAGGATTCCAACTTCAGCTTTAGTCTCCTCCTCCTGTATAAAAATTTGCCATTTCTAAGACCTTCAAATAGAAAACTTGAGTAGACCTGTCATCACAAGTTTGCCTCTGCAAAATAAAGTTTAAAGATGCAGTAGACTGCACACTGCAGAAAGGTACATTGTTGAGGGCCAGGAAGGACACACACCAAAGTCAGTCTATACCTGCTAGGAATAGGAAAACATAAAGAGAAAAAAAACAGGGTTGTTTTATTTTCTGGAGCTGTTTCTCTGTCTCCGGTAAACTAGCCAGTTCCATGACTCTTGCCTGTACTTTCTCTAGGAAATCTAATCTAAGGCCTGGAGAAATTCCAGATCTTTGAAGGCAGCTATATTATGAAATTCTGCTTTGGCTATTCATGGGGTGGAAGGGGGGGCAGGGAGAAACAATTAATGGCTTAAAAAGAGATATTTTTGCATGATTCTTGGATATTCAGCAAATAAGTTTGAATCAGAACAGTAGGATATTAGTTTCTGATAGCATGCATGCTTGAGTGAAATGGGCAGAAAAGTAATATGAGAAAAGTTTCATAATTGACAATGTGGTAGAGGCTTAAGGACAACATGAAAAGTTATTTCTCTCTACCTAGGTAAGTAAATTTTGAAAAAAATTACTAACTAGACAGAAGCAGCTCTGCAATAACAAAGAACACATCCCTTACTATTTGATTTCTAATATGATCAGAGCTTGGGGAGGACAGGTCAAGTACATTTGAGATGCAAACATGTCAGAGATGGTGTCCTTAATAACCTATGTTTCAAGACCAATTGCTTCAGTTTGTCTCATGTTAGCTTAATTCTCTGGTTTCGTCAAAATATCACCCACCAGTGACTACAAATAGTTTTCTATGCTACCATGTTAAGGTAGGTAAAAGCCTGAAAGCACAAAAGAGAAGATAGGTGCCATCTTTGCACAGTTTTAAACAAGAAATTAACAGCACAAGGGAGAAAGACATGATTGCATTAGGGGAAAACATGTTCAAATGCTCAGCAAACTACATGCAAGACTTGACCTGCCTCCAGGTAGGATTTAGAAGGTAACAGAATGGTACACAATTAGACTTCAAGAACTGAAAAATTACAGATTGAAAGTATTTTTAAACTCAATGCCAACAGCAGAGAGCTTATTAAAAATCATATATACGTGGGCTTCTAATGTAATGTTGAGGCTGTAGAAAATCAGTAATCTTCAGTTATTTTTTCTACATTCAACCTCAGTTCTACCATGTTCATCTTTTTTTTTCACAGACAGCACTCTCTCTGCTGGAAACTACAGCAGAGTCTGTGACTGTAAGGATAAACTGATTCATACAAACCCTGTTTCTTGAATAACTTAATATGTTGCTACAGAATCATCAAGGTTGGAAAAGACCTCCAAGATCATTGAGACCAACCTTTGACAATCACCACCATTGCCAACTAGACCATAACACTAAGTGCCATGTCCAGTCATTTCTCAAACACCTTCAGTGATGGCAGGTAAACCACCTCCCCAGGCAGCCCACTCCAATGTTTAATAACCCTTTCTGTGAAGAAATTCCTCCTGATGTCCAGCCTGAACCTCCCCTGGTGCAGACAGTTTCAAGTGCAGTGGCAGAAAATCAAATAGCAAAACTAATTTAAGAAGAGAAATGAGTATTCATGATTTGATCAGTGTGTTACACATGACAATACACTAGTTTCTCAGAAATAGACTCAACACTTGAGCTCTATACTCCAACCTGTAAAAATAAAGAAAGCAGAATATTTTAGATGACGTTCTAAAATGACAAATATTTTGTTAAAGATATAGAAAGAGTAACACAATTTGAGTGAATAATAAATAATTCATGAATGAAATTCATTAAAAATTTAGTCAAGTTATAGTTTACTTTTAAAGCATTCTCAGGAGAAAAAAAATACAAAAACAAAAGTCCAAACCAGTAATTCTGCAAGGTCATTTACACAGTTAAGATGAAAACTTATACTAGTTAAGAAAATAAAAATACCAATCCACTGAGGAGACTATAGCAGAAGATCAAACACAGTAACACTGGTTTATCACGTTGAAAAACTACTGTACAGGATGAAGACTACAAGCAGTGACAGCAATTCAAATGAGCACTGCAGAACAAGGACTTACCAAGCTACACAGAAAGATCAAAAATTGATCTATTTTGACTTTTAACAAATAAATAATACTTTGAACTATACATCATGTCTGATATTGCTTCAAAGCGTGCAGACAACTTTCCATAACAAGGAAGCAAAAGACAAAATTTGAAACTCAGAACATTTGCCAAGAGCCCCCTAGAACAATCAAATCCAGAATCCTGGGGGAAAAAACAGGTATCTACTAAACACTTTGTTTCTAAAGAGTTCATACAGCCTGTACATCATAATTCCAAGCTCCCTACAACAAACTTCAAATATGCAGGAAAAAAAAAATCAAAACCTATAAATACTATGTGCAACATGAAGAGAGCTGGAGTGACAGATTTCACTCAAAGCCTTGAATTCTTAGAATAACAAGGAAATTGTTAGCCAAGATCTCCAAAACACTAGATAGTTCCTTCCAATCTGGCTGGGACAGATTCCAGACAACAAATCTAGTGAATTTTTAAGCCTTGACCGGTTACCAAGACACATCAGCTCGTCAGAAACTCCAGCAAACCCCATTCTATACTTGCAGAACTCCAGACAAAAGACAATATCTATATCCTCAAATAAACGGAGGGAGAAACAACTTTTTTTTCCCAGCCTCTGGAATTAACCCAGGAGGAAATCTGAAATATCAAATTCAGTGTAAATACAGGAGAAACATGCACAATCTATAAGCAGCAATTAGATCTCCTTTCAGCACTCCCTGGACTAATCAATAAACTGGATGCCCAAGGACTTTACTTGGAAACCTACACTTTGTCTACTTTTCAGGCTCTGTTTAGTTCTATTTCTCTCACTGCCCTTGATTACTCTGCTCATTAGAAACCTTTTTCAAATTTCCACTGTCAATTTATCCACGTCCAATATATACCCAAATTAGGATTCACAAACTTAAGCAATACTGGTGCAACAGATGAAATACAAACAATCACATAATCATCCATCCTTGAAACAGACTGTATGCAATACTCTGAAAATAGCATGTCTAAATCCAGAAACTCATCCTCCCACAATCCTCCCTCATCACAAACTCAGTATCATTAGCTCCTCATGCAACTCCTTTCAGAATCCATTAATGGGTGGCATTAGTTTTTAACTAAAATGCTGCCTGTAAAAAGATTCAGGATCCATACCTTCACAACAAAACTTTACTGCCGTGTATCATTGTGCCTTGCAAATGTTGCAGTTTGTAAGCTTCAGATGGGCAACAGATACTACTGAATTCTCCATGCATATTCTAGGTTAGAGAAGACCACAAGCTAAATATAAACAAACTTGTCCATAGCAAAGAAAATATTTTGACAACATTCTGTAGATGTAAATAGCTGATCTTAATCTCTAGCATTCATATATTTAGTCACATAAGAGCCAATAATAGTTTTCAGTGCTCTTGCACTGATTTCAGGTTTTGATCTGTCAGGCAAATTGGTGTTTTTACTAGACTGGAAGTTCAATCTGACTACACTGTTGCCAATTTTCTAAGGAAACAGACCTGTTTCTGCTGACTTTCTTTGCTGTGGTAGCTTGCACATGACTTCCCCACAATTTTCACCCTTAGCAGTAACTAACAGGGTCTTTCCAAGGAAGACTCACACTGTCTTCTTTGTCTACTAGCCACATGAAAATGTTGGGATGTAAAGGAGCAGATGGGCTTGCCGCCAGGCCAGAATTTCTTTCAATTGTACTAATCCAATCATTCCAAATCCAGTCCAAAAAAATGCATTTACAAGTGATGTGGGCAGCTGGTGCAGGTGGGCTTGGGATCAAATTAAGGTTCTCTCAAAGTACAGCACAACCATCAGCCCAGTGTTCTAATCTGGCAACATTATGGCATATTTTATGCAAAACGTTGGAGTATCACCACATGAAAATACATTAGAAACACACATAGGCAGAAGCCTTTGTGTATATGGAAGGCAAACCATTTTAAAACACTCATTTCAAGCACCAGAGGTATAAAACTCAAACACAAGGGTAGCATGCATTCATGACTCTGTAGTTTATAGCAGCAGCAGGTGTTACTTCTCTCTTGAGTAGGTCTAGCCTTCATTTGCCAAACACCAATTTTTCAAAATAAAAGGATACAGAAACTTTGCAAAGCTGCATGTCCAAGACAATAAGCCCCAAATATACTTACTTCTCTTCCAGTATTTCTTATACTTGCTTTCAAATATCATATAGCACTGCTGTGTATTTATTCAAGATGTAAAGCAAATGCACATTACCTTTTTCAACGAAAAATTAGAGCAAAAAACACTTCAATACTGAATTATTTCTAGAACTGCAACAAGTATTTGACTATATTTAACAAGTAAATATTTTTAGAAAATAAATGAGTTTTTTATTACCTCTCTAAGATGCATGTTTTCCTTCTCCTTCTGATCTAAAATCACTTCTAAATGATTAACCTGAGATTCAGCTTCTGCCATCCTTCGTGTTCTCTCATTGTCATCTTCCATTCCTTTAGATGGCAAACCTTTACTTTGCAACATTTCCAGAAGCTTTTTTATTGATTCATCTCTGGCATTTAGTGTTTGCTTTTGTGTTTCAATCCTAAGCTCCATTTCTTCTAGAGTTTTCCTCAAGAGGAAGAGCTCTTTAGCTTGTCTATCATGTTCTGCTTGAAGCCTTCGAAAATTCTCCTCTGTGAGCTCAATGGTAAAATGCTCAGCCCCTCGGTTTCCACTTTCTTGCTGGAGGAGATGGTTAAGGTCTCTCTGGGTTCTAAGCTCATCTTGAAGTGCCTGGATTGTCAATTGCAGATGCTGCAATGATGAAAAGAAAGGGGGAAAAAAAATCAGTATAGGATCTGAAAGTAGAATTAGTCTTTGATTAAACTTTTGTTGTATGCTGTTACAAAAAGTCATTAGAATTAGTGATGAAAGTATATCAAATGACCTTATAAAATACCAAATGCAGGTGACAATATCTGTAATGATATCTTTAGAGTGCTTCTAGAAAAAAAAAAAGAAGACAACATACACAGACACAAAACAATGTCAGCTACAGGAAAAAATTAATAGCAACAAAAGGCAAACCAACAAACCAAAACACTAGGCAGTGACACATCCATTAGTACAGTCAATATACCTACAAAGCTGAAAGACTCAGTATTCCATGTTTTCTAAATTACTTCATAGTCTAAAGGTAATTCTTCTCTTTATGGTGCTCAACAGTACTGCTGTTAATAAAGTCAATCAAAGCATTCACTGTAATTATAATGGCTTTGGGGAGGGGCTGAGTTGGGGCTGGTTGGTTTCATTTTTTCTTTTTGGCAACTATAGCTATGAACATGTTTAGTAAACAGGATTACTGTATCTCTAACAAGCAAACAAAACAAAAACCCCACAATAAGCAATACTGAGTTTTGAAAAATACTTTGACTGCAAATAGTGGACAAACCTTTGTTCTTCTGGCATCCAAAAACTGAACAGCATGGTAAATGAAAAAATGAAGCAAAATCAACATAAATAAAGGTCAGATGCAAGCAAAGGAGATTCAACAGAAAGAACTGAATTCAACAAAAAGCATCTTCAACAGAAAAAAATAATTTTATTGAGTTATACAGAAAGGCAACAACAACTTCACAGTACTCAAATTTATAAACCTATAGACAGACTTAATAGACGTGACAAAGAAAAATATATTAGAAAGAATCAGTTCCACAGATAATAACAATATTTCTATTTTACATTACTGTTCTTTTACACTTTTAGGTTTTTTAAAACACAGTGACTTGCCCTGAAATATTTGTACTACAGCTGAATGCAGTGGGTTTTCTTTGTTCAAGTGGTACATCTTGCACTCCTTACTCAACACAGATCAAAATCAAAAAGGATTTTGCCCATGTTAAGGCTGGAACATATATAATTATCCTAAATAACTAGTTAACTAGATACATAACTAGTTAAACTAGTAATTTAGGATAAATTACTAAACTACCTAAATTAATAGTTTATGATGCTCATTTCAGATTGTATCTTTATCTAACAATTTATTTTTCTTATTTTTCCCCTCTATTCACTGCCTATTCAGCATACTGAAATTTTAGAAATATAAATTCCTGAGTAGTCACAGGGTCTGTACCAGAAGACAAGTAATTGTAGGAATTAGGGGATTTAAATGCCTATCATCAGACTTTTTTGTTTTAATGGATATTCTGCTACTCCACATTCTAAACACAGGAAGAACAACAACAACAAAAAAAAACCACACCACAAACACCAACATACAGGAAAACATCATTGCATTTGATACTGCCTTCATGTTTTACACAATTATATGTAAATCTGTCAGTTTGTAGCCATCATTTGAACTAAATGAAAAATGCAAACCTCAAGAAAAAAACCTTTTGAAATCATGTCTTTTATCAGTAGTTTCAAATGGAAATAAGACACTTTGAATCTGCTCTATCATTAAATAAACATTGTTTTACTAAATGTCCAGATCTTAATTCTCTAGTATTTGCATCTTATTAGGCACACAGTTCAGGGCATACAAATGTAGGCTACTCATTACAGCCCTGATTTTATTTAAAAGCAATTCTTCTCTTTTTTTTTCTAATAAACTTAAAACTCCTCTAGATGTAGCAACTTTCCCATTTTAAATTTTCTCATATACCAAGTATTTATGACCCCAAGACTGATTACATCTTCTGCATTCCAAAATTCTTTCACTACTGAGACAGTGACACAAGAGCCATGTCTTCATGTGCATTCTACACACACACACACACACACACACACACCCTCTCCCTTTCTGCCATCTCTCATAGGCAGTGTGGTTTTTCTTAAGATTAAGCACACAAAGTGAATATTGCAGGAGGAACTACCTGGACCCTCACATTATTCCATAGAAGAGGCAGCTGAGACATTTGCAACTGACTTTGATGCACATCAGCCTGCAAAACAGTATAAAATGCTGCTGAAGTTTGGGCCAACCAGGCAAACTGTCTCCTGAGGTCACAGACAGCTTCCAGGTGGATGGATCCCCTCCCTGGCAGGGAAGCCTGCAGGGTACATCCAGCAAGAACACTCACTTTTGGATGGATGAGTGAAAGAGCTAAGATCTGGTCAATTACAGAGATAAAATCCTAAAGTAGCTACATAGATACTTTGCTACTTCGTAATTGTGAATTCTGCAAGACCAAAGCCTGCAAACTGAATGTTTCTAGCTGAACGTGCTTATATTGTAACTCTTTAGACATAGACTGTTGACCTAACCAGAGGTTAAGTTCTCTGAGCTGAATGTAGATTTCTGAGAAAAGTAGAAAGCAAGAGATTCTCTATGAAGCTTGTGACTCCACAAAAGTGACCAAGATTATACTACAATCCATTGTAATAGATAACAGAGATGTTATTTAGATACTACATTAGTAATGTTTAGGTTCTGTACTAGCAATAAATCTAATCATAATCATCCACATAATCACTGTGTCCTACTTCTCCCAATTGACCAAGAACCTTCTGCCTACTACTATACTACAACTACTAGGGAACAGCAAAATTCAGCAACTACCAGTAGTCTAGAAATAGGCAAAAGAATTGTCTTCTTCAATCTGAATAATGGTTCAAGATTCATCCTCCTGGTATTAAGTCAGAGAATATTTATTACTTGATGCTAAAAACTATTCACAAATAAGTATTTTCTCAAAGTCAAGTGGTGTCTGTATATCAAATGTCTATATGTCTATAAAAATCTAGCTAAGCAAAGGGAAACTAATTCTAAAATATTTACAATGCTGTAACACACAAATAAAAGTAAACTCAACATACACATTGGTAACACAGAAACCTTCTGAATGCAAGCTGTAAAAATCAAAACTGTTGGATCAACACAAAAATAATTAGAAATCATAACCTAAACAGCAATTCTGCTTAAGATAGGTGAGACAACTTCCTTTGCTGCCTCACAGCAGCCTATGCAGGTTGTTCTTTGGCTTTGCCCATAACCACTTTCGTCACTAAGCACAACAATAGTTGTGGCTGCTTCTCAGTAATTATGTTAAAACTAACAGCCTCAGCTGTGACAGACTACTGCTGCTTTGACATAGAAGGATCCATTTTTGTACACCTTCAAGACTTAGAACATGGTGGACCAGATTTAGACTTGTGCTGGCACAGATTTTTGGATCTACAGCTAGCTAAGTAAAGGAAAGAACAAATGTTGTGAGGGTGGAAAGAAATTGTATAATTAAATGCAAGGGGGAGGAATGTAGGAGTGCTGTGAATGTGTCACACTGCTGTCCTGCTGTCATTACACAGACATAGAACTTCACAGGATTTAAAAAAAAAAAAAGCAACATGCAAGATCTAACATATTTTTTATAATTTCTAGTAAAGACAGATCAGTTGACCAGTAATATTTCCATGCTAATTTCTTGGCAATATACAAATAGATCTCTCAGAACTTTTTCAGTTTTTTTCTATAGCCCAACTCCAATCCAGAGGACTGTGGATTGTCCCATAAATTAAAACAAAACTATAAAAGGAAGTTTCATTCATGGCCCTTCCTGAATTTTGATTCACATTCTACACAAGGAAGTTCCTCTAATTTATGTCAACTAACTACTTCCAAAAGAACTGCCTGCTGAAAATTATCCTGCCACAGTATTCTTTGGGCCAGATCACACAAGCACTGCCAGAGCATCCCAGAGCCTTAGATATATGGTGAACAGTGGAGGAAAAGGAAATCACAAGGAGATTCAGTGATTCAAATTAGTTAGTCCACCTACAGAAGCACAGAGCTTCTTGTGCTTTGCACCGTCACACCACCACCACAAGCGATAGAACATGTTGAAGAATCCAGTCTACAGGGTTTTAGCTCCTGATTCTCCCATTTCTTTCTCACTCCAATAAATATAGAATTTACAGGGCTGAATCAACTGATATGGTTAGTCTCCTGACGGTGGCAAATATATGATGATACAGAAGACTCTAGAAAAAAAATCCTACCGTGTAACTGTACATTGTAGAAAGTTATAGCTATAACTGAAAAACACATCTGGACAAGTATAACAGCAAATTACACTACCCACCATACTCTTATTTTCTAAAATCAAGCTTTGTTATTCATTCTATAATCCATCACTGTTCCATTTTAATTTTTCACTGCATGAGGCTCTATCATTGAAAGAAAACAGGCTACTTAAAACTTTCTTATGAACTGCATCTAAATCAATTTCTATGTTAACTTTAGTTGTGCTACTGAAATAAGTATGAGCATTAGAGTTGTAAGTATTTATAACTAAATATCGTTAAAGAACATGCAAATCTTTATTTTCTTCTGTAAGGAAAAGGAAAAAAAGAAAGTCAAAAAGGGAATTTGAGATATTTTATTCATCAGCATAAATTAAGAAATGGATTCTCCCATGCATTTTCCCATCTGTCTAATGTAATTCAAAATTCTGGCATCCAAACACCACCACTGAGGATCAGCTGACAAGAATTTTGGTTGAATATGACAGGACTGACAGAAAGAGGTGAAAGAAGACAGATGTAATTTGTGAGGAATCACAAGAGATTCTGACCACACACATGATGTTCAGCATTAAAAATTCTGAGCCTGCAACAGATGTGAGAGAACTTCTGCATAACATCACTTGCTGAATCAACCATGTATTTGAAAAGGGGGAACTCCTGTTTACTGACTTCCCTCACTTTTTCTTTCTTTATCCTTTCTAAGTTTTGTGCCTCGACAAATTCTGTAAAGCTTGCCCTTACTACCATGCTTTGCAAGTTAAATAAGGAATTTTGTCACATACACT